TTATTATAATTATAGAATTATGTTAACAATTCATATAATAATTATCTCACTAAAATGATGTTTTTCAATGTTGAGTTGATAAAATTTTACCTAAAATCAAAAACTGAAAAAACAATATTAAATACTAATAATTTTCATCTAGTGTAAGAAAAATAAATTTTGAATAAATACGTATACAAATTTTATTTATATTTTAGGCCTCAAATTGAAATTTCGCTTTAGTCCCCCAATTACGTTGAGCCGCCCCTTGGGTAAGGTTGCATACACATTGAACACCACCCTCCTCTAAGTCCACTTGTATGATTATATTGTTTATGTTGTCCTTAGTGTTATCATACCAAATTAATTTGGTACGATTCGATTGTAAAGTATAATATCGTACTTTGGTAACCATAGTTTGTTTGACTTCGACCTATATATAATAAAAAATTGTAACTTCGCATTTTAAGAAATGTCTCAATCATATACGATAAGTCAAACTATTTTGTTAGTTAAGTATAAAGCACCCTTTTAATTAAGGGGATATTTAGAAATATACAATGTATATATAAAAATAACCTCGTACTATTTTAATCTTGAAATAATTTAGTCCAACCTACCTAAAAATAGGGTGTTTATAATCTCACACGATTTTAATCTTGAAACTAAGTTAGCCTAACCTACTCCTACAACTCTATTGCGTACTAAGTTACCCCCAACCTTACTCCTACAACTCTATTACCTACAAATTAGCCAATTCGCATGGTAGAGCTACAAGGAAAGTTCTAATTAAGCTTGGTTAGGTTCTAATTAGCCAACTCACATGGTATTGTTGGTTAGGTTGATTTCGTTGTATGAAACAGAGTGTTGATAAGTTAAGAACTTTTATATTTAAAAGATGGGGGTGAAGAAAATGAGAATATTGAGGTGGATGTAAGGAAATACTAGGAGAGATAAGATCATTAAGAATGAAGATACCTTAGCCAAGGAGGGAGTGACCTCTATGGTGGACAAAATGAAAAAAGTCATCTTGAGATGATTCAAACATGTGAGAAAAGGTGCGCAAAACCCCAATGAGGAGGTAGACTAATTAAGAAGTGTCGGGGAGAGCTAATTAGACACAATTTCAACGAACATAACCAAATAAGAGATTATAGTGACTATGAATTACGATAAAAGGTTAGTAGATTGTCGAACATTATCTTATTTTTAGGTGGGATAAGTTTGGTGGGGTAGCTTAGTGCGCTATACTTGGTTCAGGCTCATACTAGTAGTAGTAACATTTTATCTTGTAGTTGCATGTTTTACAAAAAAAAAATTGTTACTCCTCATTATTTAATATCCTTCAGTTATCACATTATTGGGTCATTGTTATTTCTCATGTTTTCTAAATGTTATGTTATGCTTTACTTATTATTTGTTGTGTTTTCTTTACTTGATCAATATTTTTCTTTTAACTATTTTATGGCATTACTCGAGTTAAGGATATTTTGAAAACAAACCTCTCTATCTCCATTGAAATAGAAATAAAGTATGTGTACACTCTACCCTTGCTTATAGGACTACAATATTGAGTTTATACATTGCAAGGAAGTCAATGACCATCCACCTTACTCAAATATCTTTCTCCCTCCGTTCAACAATAGTTGTCCACTATACTAAAAATAGATGTCCAACAATACTTATCTAGTTTAGAAAATCAAGAGATAGTTTAACTTTTGTGTCTATTTTACCCTTGGTATTAAATATTATTTATCATCTAACACATTTTTTAAAACATTAAATTTAATAAAATCAAAGGACAATATAGTAATATACCCTTACTATTTATTACTCCCTCTGTCCTAATTATATGACTTACTTTTCTTTTTAGTCAGTCCAAAAAAAAAGACACATTTCTATATTAAGTAACAATTTAACTTTAAATGTATTTTTACCTTTAATGAAATGATTTATAGTCATACAAATTTCTATCATTTATTTTAGACCACGAGTTTTAAAAGTCTTCTTATCTTTCTTAAACTCCGTGCCGAGTCAAACTTCCTCACATAAAATGGGACGAAGGAAGTATTTCTTAAGGGGTGTGATAAGTCAATAATAGACAACTATTATTGAACATAGGGAATAATTAATGGTAGGGACCTACTCCTCCAACTGAGGAACCTCCAGTTGAGCATGAGTATGAGGAAGATAATCAAGTGGCAGACGTACTAGCTAAAGATGGGTCTAGGATGATGCAAACTAAGACTATCTCCAATCCATCTCTATTTTACTCTCTATTCTCTATATTTAGAGAGTAAAATAGAGAATGGGCTCTTCAACCGCCCCTCCATATTACTCTCTATCATCTATTTATAGAGGGATGAATAGTAGTTCTCCAAATTTGGAGAACTACTATTCACCTCTCTATTTCACTTTTTGATTATTTTAATATTATTTCTATTGACTCATTAATTAAGTCTTTATTATTTTTAATTACTTTTCTAATATAATATAACATCTAAAAATATATTATTGACAAGTTACTATTTCTTTCCGGATTAATAATTTTCTATTTTATTTTTTAAAAATCGTCACTTTAAATATGTAATTTCAAATTATTTTAATATTATTTATATTATATGAGACTATTAATTAAGTCTTTAATAGTTGAATTATTTTCTAAGTAATATAACATCTAAAAAAACATATTATTGATAAGTATACTACTTTCATCTCAAATTAACAATTTTTCTAAAACAAATCGTCACTTTAAATATTTAATTTAAAATTATAATTATTTTTCACTATGAAGAATACACAAAATTTACATGATAATTCAAACAATCTACTTTTATATTATAGTGATAAATTATTAAACTACACTTTTAATGAGTATGAAAATACTTTTTGCAATAGTTCAAAATGGAATTGGGAAAGTAAATTAGTACATGAAATAATTGGATAGAAGATGAAATTGTTGATTTAAACAATTTTTAGCTACACATAAAAAATATGGACAAAAAATTACTCATTTTGAATTCCGTAATGCATTAATAGAGCATTATGGGAGCAACGTAAAAGTTTTGAAAGTTGAGTATTTATGTAGAATTTAAAATTAAATTTTACGCTAATGCATTATTTATTATGTTCATCAATAATTTCACTTTATTTGAATTGTTTGTTAATGTATTATATTTGATATTTGTTGTAATTTATTTTATTTAGAATTTTAGAATAAAATATAATTTTATATTTAATGAAAAAATTGAAAAGAATAAAATATATTATACGAAGATTATATAGATTATAGGGAAATTATTTGTAAAAAGAAAAAATAATTTATATTATGAAATAAGAAAATAAAAATGAAAAAGAAATAATAATATAATATTGAGGAGAGAGAAAAATATTCATTTTTAGAAAGTAAAATACAAAATTGGATTAAAATTGATTGTCTGAAAAAATAGAGAACTCTATATTTGGAAAGTAAAATAGAGGGTAGGGTTGGAGATGCCCAACCCCTTTTGTGTGTTGGACAGTTCCTTCTTTGTTTGTGTTCAGAAAATTAAAAGTAGATAAAGTGAAAACGCTTTTTGTTAGGCTAAAAAGGGTCAAGTTTTACTACTAATTAATGTGATGTTTATTATGTAATAACACCTCACCCCCAAACGCTACTAGCGAAAGTAAAGTTCTGCCAGAATTTTGTTTTTTACAGAAATCAAACGAATTTATTTTTGCAAAAAAATAAGCTTGAAGAATATAAAAACAAAAAATGAAATCTTAAACCAACAAGCATTAATCATCTAGTGGTAAAAACATATCATACGAAGGTAATTAAAGACAAGGATCGATCCCGAATGATGCATTTTATAACTATATAATAAAAAATTGACCGATTTTTTTAAAACTAAATATATGTGGTCAGTAAAAACCGACCACTGTTTCGATTTTCGATATCGGCCGTACCTAAATCGACCATCGGTTTTTTGTAGGTATTCAGAAAAAACGATCAACATTGATCGACTATGGTGGTCAGTTTTCACTTTTTTTAGTAATGGTTACATAGGACAACGACACAATCATAGTAAATCGGTTGTTACATAAGTGACACTTTCATCATTACATAACAAGAAATTTAATAATATGATACAATAAAATTTGAGTAAAAACAAAATTGTACTCAAAGTAACAATATGATCGATACAATACAACGAGGAACAATCATCCAAACAAGTTGTAGGGACAATTTCATACAATATGAAAAGATAATTCTTTCTGATCCACAACGGAGATTTTTATTGAAAAGGGAAAATGCTCAAATATGTCATCGAACTTTTAGAAAAAACTCATCTATCTATTATAAGTTTGGTTCACTTATGCCATTTTCGTTTGAGAAAACGCTCATCCATGACATTATTTGTTAATTGAAATGACATAGATAAGCCAATTATTTTTATGGAAGGTATAGATGAGCCCTTACTCAAAATTTAATGGCATATTTTTGCCTTTTCCCTTTAAAAAATAATTCAATTAATGATGTGGCCAAGTCATAATTGTTCACGTGTAAAAAATGGTTTGCAAAACCCAAAAGTATTTTTAGTTTACAAATAATGACATGAATGAGTCTTTTCTTAAAGGAAAATGGCATAGATGAGCCAATCTTTTTATGGGTGACATAGATGAGCCTTTTCTCAAACTTCGATGACATATTTGAGCATTTTCCCTATTGAAAATAACATCTCTGTCTTCAAAAGGTTTTTATAAGGTGCACTCTTTTCGGACCCCACTTATTGAATTATACCCAGAGGAGAAGCTAAGATTTCAACTATATGGGTTCTGAATTTAACAATGACGATTTTATATATTTATACATATTTTATGAATTTTCAACACAAATACAGTGTTTGAGCAAAATTCAGCAAACTACTACCTCCACCCTGTTAATTTATAGTGGATATACTGTTGTTATATCATATATAGTGCTATAAATATATCTCAAACTCAATATATTATTTTCACTTGATATTCAATCAATAATCATGGACTATCATCTTCCTTATGGTTTGATCATATTCTTCCTTCCAATAATAATCTTTCTATTCTCTATATATTATGAAAATAAGTCTTCTTCAAAATTGGGACTTCCAAAATCTTATCCACTAATTGGTTGCACATTTTCATTGATTAAAAACCGCAAACGTCTTGTCCAATGGACTGCACAATTGTTACAAAATTCACCTTCTTCAACCATCACACTTACTGGTCCCTTTGGTAAAAAATGTGTCTTGACAACAAACCCTAGTAATGTGAAGCACATCCTCAAAACCCGATTCGACGTGTATGAAAAATCCACCACCGTACGGTCTTCGTTACACGATCTTTTGGGTGGTGGAATCTTTGTTGTCGATGGGACAGAGTGGAAGTCCCATCGACAACTCATAAGTCCTATCTTCAAATCGGATACGTTCCATCATATAGTCGAGTGTATCACTATGAAAGAGATTTCTTCTCGTCTTCTTCCTCTCTTTGCGGATGCATCTACTACTATCCTTGACCTTCCCGATATTTTTCGTAGGTTCACTTTTGACATTGTGTTTAAGGAAGGTTTTGGTCATGATCCACAATACTTGTCACCATCTCTACCGAAGACTCTCTTAGCTGATGCTTTTAATACCGCGATCAAGATATGTATGGGAAGGTACGCGAGCCCTTCCATTTTGTGGAAAGCTAAGAAATTTGCCCGTATTGGATCCGAGAAGAATCTTAGTCTTGCAGTTAAGGAGCTTCAAGAATTTATCAAAAACAGATTAAAGGAAGGGGAATGTGATGATCATGTTGATTTCGTGCACTTCCTAGCTTCAAAAGGTCGTAGTCAAAACAAGTTAGTATGTGATGAGAAATATTACGTAGATTCGATTATTAATTTCATATTAGGTGCGGAAGACACTTTATGCTCTGCTTTAATATGGTTCTTTTGGTTAATATCTAGTAATCCGGAAGTTGTAAGTGATATTAAAGCGAATAATAATAACAATTGGAAGAAAATGACGTATCTACATGCTTCCATTTGCGAAAGCATGAGACTATACCCTCCAGCCCCTGTTGAACCAAAGCAAGCAACAGGGGATGAAGACATATGGCCAGACGGGACAAAGGTGAATAAAGGAACAGAAGTGATTATACATATATTCGCGATGGGGAGATCACAAGAAAATTGGGCGGAATTCAAACCAGAGAGATGGTTACGAAAAGATGTTACAACATCAAATTGGGTATTTATCCCGAGGGATCCTTTCAATTACCTGGTGTTTCAAGCCGGACCGAGGACTTGTCTTGGAATAGACATTGCTTTTATGCAAATAAAATTGGTAGCTGCTAATGTGCTAAGCCAATTTCAGCTTGTTCCAGCAGTGGACGGTTATAGTCCTGTTTATACTTCGACTTTGACATCAAAGATGAAAAATGGATTTCCAGTTAGAGTAATTCAACGTGTCTAGCTAGCTAATTAGTTTTACCTATATAGTCGATTACTCTCTCTGTCTCAATTTATGTGGGGACCTTTTTCTTAGTCTCTACAAAAAATAATGTCACTTTCTGTGATTAAAAATAATTGTAAATGTATGGTATTCACCCTTTTGAGCACATGACAAGATGTTACATTGTCATTGAGCCCAAAAAAAATATATATAGAGAAATAGTCCATAAAATTTTAATTAAATGATTCCAATTCAAAGCGGAAGTCAAGTTGAGCGATGATGGTGACGGCGCTAGGGGAGACTTTCTTCTCAACTCTTTATGAGCTAGAAAAAGTGTTGGAATTATTACGGAAAATACTTCACCACAAACACTTATAGGAAATTCACCAAAGCTTGAAACGAGTCAGACACTATCCTTAAGGATCGGAATTCAACAAGCTCTTCTAGTATAAAACTAGGAGCTAGAATCTAACAAAAAATATTGGAGGAAGAATATTTGTATTCATCACTTTTTTTCTCTACCCTTTCAGTGAAGAAGCACATACAGTGATAATATATATGCAAGAAAGATCTCTTGAAATAGTTAGATTTTAAGTTGCAATAGTGAAGTCCAATTAAGAGTAATTAATAGGAGCATTAAGAGGCCAAAGAAACTGTCTTCTCATTAGTTTATATATTTGTACTACCTATCTATATATAAAAGGAGAGGAAAAAGTGTCACATGTCAGCACCATAAAAATTTAACAATTATAAAATTTTAAAAAATAATTTTAAAACAATTATAAAATTTTAAAAAATAATTACAAAATTATAATTATTTATTTATTTTGTTTTTAAGAAACTAATGGTATTTTACAGCACAAGTTCTTAATATATTTTATTTTAGAAATGATTTTAAGTAATTATTACAATCAATTGAAAATTTTCTCAATTATTTAATTTTAAAAAAACGGATTTAAAAAAATTAAAAAATAAATTACAAATCAGTTTAATTACACATTAATATAACTCCGCTATTATTTAAAAATAGAAAGAAAGAAAAAACTGTCAATCCAAAAAAAAAAAAGAGAGAGAGAAACCCACGTCCTTGAAAAAAACACATATGATCAATTACCTAAATAAATAATTTAAAATTTAAAATTCAAATTTCAAAAAATAACTAACCTTATCCTTAAAATCATCTAAACCTTATAAGGCATGTCTTTGAAAAAATACTACTCTTAACTTCATCATTCATATTCATATCTTCTTAAAATCAACTCTTCAAAATATGATTCCAAACATGTTTTAAGAAAAAATGACATCCAAACAAAAATAAAATTCAAACAAATCATAAAAGAAAGAATAATTATATTGATGACTCTATTTTGAATTGTTTGTTTTGTAATTATTTTTTATGATTGAAGGGATCACCACCTCTCCAATGCGAGGAATAAAAAGAAGACACGGATGATAGAAAAATGGATGAATTGTCAAGAATTTCATGTCAGTGGATCATGTATGTTATCTTTTAATATCTTAAGTACATGAATTACTACTATGATGATGATGATAATTGTTTAGGATTAAACTTATTGTATAAAATACTATTTTAATTTTTTTTGGCATGAATTATTCAATATTGGTTTCGTTTTCTTTGATGACTTCAATGGGTTTTTACTTTAAGAAATAATAACAATGTGTAAGTATAATGATGAGGATAATGAAAGACTTAAGATGATCTTAAAATGAAAGATATTGTCATTTCTTAAATATTTGTTTGTGCAAAATCAAAATATCACTTAATGTTTAGGGTGTTTGACTTTTGAAGAATAATAATTGGTTGTGGTTTATTTTAATCTAAAGATGATTATAGTATAAACTGTCGTATTTATTATGTTGCTTTATCTTTATGTTTGTATATGTAACTTTAATTTAATCATATTTTTTAAGATTTTCGTTGTAAAAATCATTATAGTAGCTTCATTTTTGTATATGATTGTTGTGATATGAATTGTCCTTATTATGTTGGTTTATTTATAGTATAAATACTTAGGTATATAAATAGATTAAAATAGTTTACATTGTTAATTTTATGTTATCACTTTATATGTTTTTACTATATATGTTATTGTCTTTAATTTATCTATTTTTTTAAAATTTGCATGACTTTATAACTTAATTTTTTGTGTTACTCTTTTTCATAAATCTAACAGAAACTGATTGAGAAGATATTTCAAGAACAAGTAAAAAGGTTTAAGTCAACTTTTTGAATTCATAATTTTTGTTATATTTTTATTTTTATTTTTTTTATTTTATTATTATTATTATTATTATTGAGAGAAAATTTAAAACTTTATAATTTTGAATTTTGAATTTGATTTTACAACTTTAAATTGAGATAGAGTAATTAGTTTGATAATCTATGTTTGAAAAAATAAAAATAAAATTTAGACTAAAACCTAATTTATTTGCTTCAGTTAAAAAATCATAAAATATTAATTTAATGTGTTCAGTTAAATAATTTAATGATTCATATTATCATTTTACAAATATTACTAATTGCATAATAAATTTTATTAGTTATTTTAAATTTATATGTTATTATTTTTTAAAATATTCGTGCAACGTGTGGGCATATTTTCTAGAATTATCGTTTAATTAAAATGAATTCAATAATAAAAAAAATATTTATCTATAGAAATATATTATAAAGGAGTAATAGGTAAAGAGGGATCAAATGACATATGATAAGTAAGGAACAAAAGAAAAAAATATTGAAATAATTGACATATGATAACATAATGTAGAATGAAAATAAATTAAATTTTAGGATTCTAATTTTATTCATACCAACTTATACTAGACACAAAAGATAAATTGAATTTGAAGAATAGAATGCATAATATTTTTAAATTTTATTTTTTAGAAAAGGTATACTACCATACGAGAATAGTTTTTTATTTATAGTTTTGTTTTATAATATGATGTTACATTATTTTATTTATTATTTCTCATTTCAAAAAGATAGCACCTCTAACAAAAACTTTTGTATACTTTATTTGGTCATAAATTACATCAATATAATTAAATCCATTTTAGATATTAATACATACATAAATTGAATATTAACTAAAAATGATTTTATTTTCAAAAATTTACTAATAAATAAAACAACATTTTAAAATAGCAAAGTGGTTAGAATTTCACTTTGAATCAAATTTGTACATAGGGTAAATTCTATATTTTATATAAATCTTGATTGTTTATTGCAATATACATTAAAAAAATGTTAGCCAAAATTTGACTATATAATAGTAAGTAGTAGTGAAAATGTAATCAAGAAAAACAGAAACATACAGAAATTATTTGTTGAATATTTGATATATATTTTATTTTGAAAATGAAATATTTTTTTTAAATTATCCAGTTCTAATCTTCAATCTATATATAACTTCAATTTATATATAACAAGAAAGTAAAAAGTGTCACATGTCAGCACCATAAAAAAATTCAATTATTTAATTTTAAAAATTCAAATTTTAAAAAGTCAAAAATTAAAAAAATAAATTACAAAATAGTTAAATTTTAAAAATTCAAGAAAAAACTATGTGTTTTATTAACATAATCTTTTTAAAGATAGTTACCACAATTAATATAACTCTTTTTTTTAAAAAAAAGATAACTGATTGTACATGTGGTTAAAGTTTATGTTATTTTAGACTCTTATTCTTATCATAATAATTAGAATACTTATCTTTATTGATTGACATCTATTTAATTATTTTTAAAATAATTAAGAAGCACATGAAAAATACACATAAAAAAATCAAAAAAACTACACATTAATATGACTCCACTACGTACAACTTTCTCATTCAATATCAAACATTTAGAGTATTATTTAAATAAATTTAAATTATAGAATAAAAATTGCAAACACTAAAATATTACTTTAACTTTTTACCATTTTTTAAAATTCAATTTTTGATAATAGTTAACTACATTATTCTCTTCCTAAAAAATGCTCCAAAATCTTAATTGTTTATTGCAATATACGATAAAAATCTGTTAGCCAAATTTGACTAATATATTCTAAAAATAAAACTGAATTATGAAATACTTTTTTAAAAAATAATTTAGATCTAATATATTCTAAAAAAAAAATAATTCACGGTGATTGAAGGAGTATGTTTAACTAAGAGTCTGCTTGGTGTATGATTATTCAAATTAAAATATAATTTTTATATTTGATTTGAAAAATAAATACATATCTAAAAAGCAAAAATAAAGAGACAAAATAAAATAAAATAAAATACAAAATCAACTAAAACTAAATTAATTTTAAAATATTAATTTATGAAAGTATCATTCAACTGTAAGACTTATATTGTACATTTGTACTAAACAATAGCATATAATTACATATATATTTTAAAATAACACATAATTGATATATGACTTTAAGAAAAATTAAAAGACAAAATATAAAATTGTGAATAACATGCCTACATTTTGATATTCTAGTGACTAAAACTCTTTTTGTATGCTTAGCATTATGATAGGACTATTTTTAGTTATGATTTATTTAAATCTAACTATTAAATTTTCTTATATCTTTATTATTTTAACAAGAGGATAATATACATTTTAAATAAATTAAATAATGATAAAAGACTATTATTGTCAAATTTAGATAATGAACTAAGCTTATATATTGATTTATTTACATAAATATTCTATTATAACACATCAAGATGCTGAAACATTTTTAAAATAAATTTTTATAATATTATCTTATAATAAGTTAAAATTTTAAATTGTTAATAAATTAATATTATATATTTATGATTATTATCAATTAACCGCGCAACGCGCGGGCACGCATATTAGTTATAATAATACTAGTGTACTTATCCGCGCTTCGCGTGGAATTAAATATAGTACTCCCGCCGTCCCAATTTATGTGGCACTTTTCGAATTACGAGATTCAAACAAGTCTATCTTTGACCATAAATTTTGCATACATCTTTTAAATATTT